TCCAGTTTTCAAAATGAAGCCTATGCTAAAGTTGCAGGTAATAAGGCTTCTGATGGAAGAAATGCTCAACCTCACACACCATATAAGCAGAATTACGCAAAAGAAGAGTACGTTGGAGAAGTAGGTGAGGCGTTTTATGAAGATGCCCATATAAGCAACAACAGACCTAGCCAGTATGCTTCCACAAAGTCTAATATGGAGCCCATGGACAATAACTCATTTGCAAAGTCCTCTAGCTATGGTATAAACAATGTTAGGTCCGAAAGACACATCAGCTCACAATCGGAAGGTTCATTCTCTGACAGGGTTCCTGTCAATGATACTTTTGAGACCAGAATTCCAAGCATGCACTGCAATCAACCTGATGTCCGAGACACTGATAGGCTTGCGGGGGTGAATGAAAGATTTTACAGAGAGAGTAATAGGAGAAGCGGCGAATCCAGCCGGTCTAATTCTAGGAAGTCTAGTGCAGATTTCAGTGGTGTTGACCCACTTGTGGATAACCATGAAATGGCAGGCAGAAATACCCAGAACAGCTCGTCTGGAGCTGAGCCTGGCAATGTATTGGATAAATCAAGTGGGACAAGAAACTCTTTTCGACCAGAGACTATTGGCACTTTAGATGAACTGAGTGAGAGAAGAAACTCTGGTGGATCTGAAGTGGAATCTGCTAATGACTTGCGGGATGATTTTATATTTGCTGAACATTCTACCCATGCTTCCTATCATTCTCATTCGTCACACTCAAGCACTTTTAGTGACAAGCGAGAGGTTATGAGTAATCGGAAGGAGGAGGATGATGTTGCAGAAAACCCCTTTGCTGATTTTGATGAAGAAAACTTCCAGAAAGATAACAAACCAACAATTGAAAGCACTGCGGTAGTTTTTGATGATTATGGTTCAGATGTTGATGACTATGGGTTTGATTTGGACAAAGGAGCAGAGCCCAGTGTGAAGACCTCACAACCAAGCTGGGATTCACCTAGCCCTCCATCAGCAAGTATCAGTTCGCCAAGCCCCAAAAGGACCACAGTTGACACGTTCACAAAGATTACACCCCAATCAAGTTTCTCAACGAATCAGCACGTTCCTATCTTTTCTGGGGGTTTGGCTGATTCTTCAGTTCATTCACAAGCAGATGAACTTGAGCCTGTGACCTTTGATGAGTCAAATGGGCCAAGTTCAGATAGTGAGGAGGAACGGAGCAATCATAAGGAGGAGAGAGAATATTCCAGTTTTGGATCTCAGAAAAAGTTTGGATTTGGTGATTTACCTTCTAGTTCAGGGAAATCCTTGTTTAATTCAAAGAATAAAGGATTGGATACCTTTGATGATCCTGTAGATAAGAAGCACCAGAGTCAGCCCTTCGATGCTTATGAAGATGCTGTGGTTCATGAAGTTGGGGAAAGTGTTTCTGTAATTTCAGAACCCGGTATGCTACATGATTCTAAATCTTCACATGAAGATAGTTATGATAATGATTTGGGTTTGACATTTGGAAGATTGACTGGTGGTCTGAAAAATAAAGGTAATAGGCGTCCTTCATATTTGAGAAGCTCGGCAGGTGATGTTTCGTTATCTAAACAAACAGCTGAATACACTGCAAAGGAAACCTCCTCTTCTTTCCCACTTAATATATCAGCTGATCCTGTAGTTCAGCAAGACCCAGTGAGTGAGGAAGTGGGTTCTGAGTTTAAGAAGAGACCAACCAGGGGACCAGCTTTCACATCTTTTGGTTCTGGTAGTGATCAGATTCCAGAGAAAACCGTTCCGCAAGAGAATTCCAGAAGCCGTCGACAACAGCAGGTTCAGAAGACGGAGCAAGAAGTGGATGACACAATTACAAGAAGAGCAAGCACAAGGCCAGTGATCCCATCTCTTCGTCCTTATGGCGTTTATGGTTCAGAAAGGACTGACCAAGGCCAAATTTCGGACAGCCATTCGGAATCTTACTCTCAGCAGGAGTCTGAAGTGGATGAAAGATCAAGCTCCAGAGGTTCCAGTGCATCTCTTGAATTAAGAGAAGAACAACGTGGTTCAAGAACCCGCCGGGAACGATACATGGAGAAGATGCATCAGGAAGTGGATGACAACGTGACAAGAAGAGCAAGCACGAGGCCAGTAATCCCATCTCTGGGCTCTGATGGCATTTATGCTTCAGAGGGAACTGTGAAAGGACAGATTTATGACAGTGGTTCTGAACCTTATACTCGGGAGGAGTCCGAAGCAAATAAAAGATCAGGCTCCACTGGTTCATCCACAACCAGTAGAGAACGTATAGGTGCTGGGCTTTCTCGAAGGACTAAGGCTGGTGCTCCTAGTACTCAAAGAAATACCAACTTGAAGTCAACTTTTGCCTCTGATGAATCCGAACGTAGTGCAGAATCAAGATCCTCTCTGAGGAGCTCTTATCCAACTGAAACTTCAACGAGGCCTCACTCTGCGGCTGATGAAGCCTATAGTTTGAGAAGTTCTGAACATTCGAGGTACGGTAAGGAAGCAAAGGGTGAGCCCATTTCAGAAACCAAAAGATCATCTCGTGAGGACAGCTCGAAGTCTGCTGCAAAGGCACAACCTTCGTCTTCAATTTCAAAGAAAACTTCATCCAGTAAGTCAGGTATGAGTGAAGATAGTCCACAGTCTCCTGCAAGAGCACAACCCTCGTTGCCCATAAAAAAGAAGGTTTCATCTACTAAGTCAGAGACAAGCGAAAGTTCTAAGGCTGCAACTCCGAGCTTGGAGTCTGCATCTAAGGAGGATTCCTTCAAACGAGCGAGTCACGTTCATCCTAAGCTTCCTGACTATGATACTTTTGCTGCCACTATGCAGTCGCTCCGAGCTAATCGACGGTAACTCTTCTGGTCTTTCTTTGTGGATATATACTACGTTCATGTCGGTCATTTTTGTGCATGGTTTTGATATTATTTACGTTCTGAGGGGGAGAGGAATAAACTTGGATTCTTATGTATTTGTGAGATAATACTCCGTCTTTGTGGGCTGGGTTGGGATATTGAGCTATTCTTTTATTTGATCACTTAATGAGTTGGAAGCATAATCGCGTGAATTTTCTTGGTCTTTTTCTTCATTAAACAGGAATTGCCTCGTTTCATTTGTTTTATCAGTCCTTCTCTCTTCTCCATTCAGTAAGTTGAGACTTTAAAACGCGAGTGCGTTTGAGCAGCTAGAGATGGCTCGCGGCGGCACCTGCACTTGTTGTCCTATGATGCTGAACGGGAAACTCTCCGTTCACATCAGGCAGCAGGCTACAGCCTTCAGGGTTCTTGAGGGTGAGTGTATGGTGCGTTGTTTCGGGCGACCTGGTGCGGTTCTTCTCTGGAGATCTAGTCGAACTTCACATTGGAAGCTGTATGTAAACAAATTCGCGATACGAGCACTCAGATACGTGCTAGGCGATGAGAGAGAGAGAGAGAGAGAGAGAGAGAGAGAGAGAAGCATACATCTACAGTCAATGCAGGTCCTGGAAAAGATTGTTGAATGTGTTGTGCATGAGACCTGCTAAGGAGTCGTGTGATGATCCATATCTAGAGATATTACTCGCACGACTCTGACAAAGAGAAAGTATTAAAAAAAAGCTCACAACTTTTCCAGAACGTTGCACCAACAATAAACCCTTTTGATTAAATATAAAAAAAATATATAATTTTTATATAATTTTTATAGATATAATTTTCTGGGACGCTTTTCTGGGGAAAAAGGAAAAAGGAACGGTTTGGTAACAAAGTCAAGATTGGCTTGCTGACAATGATGTCTTTCATGGTACCGACCTAAAAAAAGGTAGCGTGGTAAAACTGACATCGCCAATCAATAGAAAGTTTGTGATTTGGACATTTTGAGCATGAAAAGACTGATTTGGTAATGTTTCTTAATCCTGATAGGGTCCGTTCATTTGAAGAAAAATTATTTTTAAAAAATTATTTTTTGACTTTTCGATAGTCGGGTGATATAAAGCTAATCGATCTATAAAGAACATTTTTCATGGACCGAAAATAATTAGTTTATATTGAGAAAAAACGATTTCTCTTTTTAATAAGAAGAAAATCACTTTTACTTAACCACTAAATAAATCAAAACTAACAGTTTTTTTTACAGATGATTTCAATGAAACAAACGCACTCTCTCCGTTCGTTTGGCGGAAAATATTCTCTCGGAAAATATTTTTCGGTGTTCGGGGGGCGGAAAACGTTTTCCGTGAGAAAATATTTTCCTTCCCCCCTCACAAAATAGCCTAAGTCTATGGAAAATAATTTCCGCTTCTTCAAAGCGGAAATCATTTTCCGGAGCTTCTTTTTCTTTTCTTCACTAAGGTCGCCCCGCCGTCGCTGCCGCCCGCCCGCCCGCCGCCGCCGGCGCCGGCCGCCCGCCTCCGCCGGCGAAAAATATTTTCCGAAACTTTTTCATATTGATCACCGAACACCGGAAAATTATGTTCCGGGAAAACATTTTCCAGGAAAATGACTTCCGAGAAAATATTTTCCAAAAGGAGAATATTTTCCGCCAAACGAACGGAGCCTAACTATGAAATCACTTTCTTTGTAACTGATCCATCGAGTCACGTTGTCAAATCTCTCGAAACGACACTTCTTAAATATACCCGATAGAGATTGATTCAATTTTCCGGAAATTTCTTACTACACCTATTTACTATAAACAAGTTGGTTTCTCAAAAATTGGAAAAATTCATTTGTACTTGATAATTTTTCTGTTCTGTCGGGTGGCCAATCTCGGCGTCTCGTTTTTTACTCTTCTTCTTCTTCTTCTTGATTCCTTATGCATGACTAGTTTTGTGGTCTTGAGAACAGGCACTCTCACATCTACCATCTGGAATAAAACAGCACCTAGAAATCAACTACAACAGCCACAAAGTCAGTCAAACAAAACAAGCATGGCCTGACATTATTCAGCGAAAAAGACAATCCCTAGAACACACAACATTACTCATATAAATGCCCATTTTTGCCGACCTAAAATTTCAGGAACTTTTCCCAGGTTGGATTGTGATCTTGGCAACTTTTTCTCCCAAGTAGAAGGCGAAGTTCTCTGATCTCCCTCTAACTTTTTCCTGCAGTTTTCTCTCACAACAATCTTTCTGGGGGAAAACCCTCAAGACATGGAGGTAATCTTTAGTTTCACTCAAGGTTCTGCCCCCATTTTTATGGAAGAGAAGTTGCTTCACAGTGAGAATAAAGTGGAACACATTCCTTTCGTCTGTTTTGTGCATGAACTTATACAAAAACTACATAGCTTTTCTCATCTACAGTTGCAAGATATATTTGGGTATCTGTTTTGATTCTCCTAATCTCTCGGGAATGTGTGTATATCTCCCTTGATTGTGATATCCGTAATTTTTCCTAATTGATTGTAATTAGTGTCATAATACCTTGTTTCATCTTGTAAAGCATATAAATACCCATGTACTCTTCATTATACAATTCTCTCTTTTGCATATTCTTATCTAAATCGCTGTGGATTTGATTGAGCTAGTGGCTTTGCAGAGATGGAACCCACTGCGAAAGTAGTCTCCTGTGGTCCATCAGGGTTGTTGCAGAGTGATGAACTATACAATGTTAAGTCTCTGTTTTTTTTTCCTTTGTTTGAACCAATTTTTTCTGTTGAATGAAGATGCTATAATTGTTTGAGAGTTCCCTGAGTTACTGTATTGTCATGGCAGTATGTGCTGACGACTAGTGTGTACCCCAGAGAGGAAGAGATTCTGAAGGAGCTCAGAGAAACTATTGCAAACCATCCACAGTAAATTCTATTCAACATTCTTTGCTCAATGCCACATGCACTTTTAGTGATCTCCTTAGAATATGGACAAAAGTACACTAGAAGTGCCATAACTTGTGTACGGCGATCACTTTGGTGCCATAACTTTTTTTCGGATTACTTTGGTACCAAGTCGGAGGAAAATCGGTCACTTTAGTGACTCCGGCCAAAAAGCTGACATGGCATTTATATTAAAAAAAAATGGTCTGACTTGTACACGGTGAAAATTGCGTGGCTTTTTTTTGAATTTTTTTTTAAAAAAAAGTTGCAGCAGTGGCGAGGGAGCCCTCGCCGCTGCTGCCGCCAACCCACCACCGCCGGGAAGGGCCGGCGATGGTGGGCGCGATGGTCGGCGAGGGTCGCCGGCCCACGGCCGGGGCCCGGTGACCCTCGCCGAGCCCGGGAGAGCCGGATCCGGCGACCCTCGCCGAGCCTAGCGAGGGCCGGATCCGGTGAGGCGAGACCTCGCCGTCGCGACCAAGCGACGGCGAGGTCCGGCCTCGCCTTGCCGGGCGAGGCCGGACCTCACCGCTGCTCGGGTCGCGACGGCGAGGTTTGGCCTCGCCCGGCAAAGGCGAGGCCGGACCTCGCCGTCGCCCGGGTCGCGACGGCAAGGTCTCGCCTCGCCGGATCCGGCCCTCGCCGACCACCGCGCCCACCACCGCCGGCCCTACCCGGCGGTGGTAGGTTGGCGGCAGCAGCGGCGAGGGCTTCCTCGCCGCTGCTGTAGGTTTTTTTTTTTTAATATAATATATATATTTTTAAAAAGTACACGTCAGCGGGCTAAACGGCGTCGTTTTTGGTTTTTAATGCTGACTGGACCTCTCCGGCGAGCCGTGTCAGTGCCACATCGGATTTCCGGCGAGCCACGTCAGCATTGGCACTAAAGTGATCGATTTTCAAAAAAGTTGGCACCAAAGTGATCCGAAAAAAAGTTATGACACCAAAGTGATCGCTGTACACAAGTTATGGCGCTTCTAGTATACTTTTGTCTTAGAATATGCCTTCAAATTTATTTTGCTTCAATAAAGTGTATGAACATAATCTATCACTCGCTTTTGGAGCCGGTTTTTCATGTCACGGCGATGATAAAATTGAGTAAATCTGGTGGCACCATGGAATTCAATGATCGAAAGCGGTTATCCATATACTAAAACCGAAGTGTGTCTTAAGTTTTTATGTTCACTGTTGGTGGAATTATTGCTGAACAGGTCCTACCTTGCAACTGCACCGGATGGGGGTCAGTTCATCGCTCTGCTCCTTAAGCTATTGAATGCAAAGAAGACTATAGAGGTCGGCGTCTTCACTGGATACTCTCTCCTGCTCACAGCTCTCACGATTCCGCACGATGGCAAGGTGGTTCTGTCTTTCGCTTGAAAGATGGAAAATTTTGCAAGTCTGTTCGTCAAGCTAGTATTACTCTGCACGTTTTTCTTTTGCTGTTTCATATTGATCAATTCAAATTTTTCCACTGCAGATCATAGCGATCGATGTAGACCGAGAAGCATACGAGATCGGATTACCGTTTATCAAGAAAGCCAACGTCGAACACAAGATCGACTTCATTGAATCGCAAGCTTTGCCTGTCCTCGATAAATTATTAGAAAATGTGAGTGCAACTTCTCTAGAAAAGTAATCCTCATTTGAACTAGTGCAATACAAATAGAATCTTGTGAGCTTAATTAGACTCTCAACAATCTCATCCGGCTTCGCTTATGCATGTCAGCGAGAAAATGAAAGCAGCTTCGACTTTGCATATGTTGATGCTGACCGGGCAAACCTGAAGAACTATCACGAGAGGCTGCTGATGCTGGTGAGGGTCAGGGGCGTGATCGTGTATGATAACACTCTCTGGGGAGGCACCGTCGCCTTGGCCGACCCGTCCTCCGCTCACCCAATAAGGCAATTCGCGTGGAAGGACACGATCGAGTTCAACAAGATGATAGCGGGCGATCTTCGGGTCGATATATCTCAAGTAGCGTTGGGCGATGGGATGACGATTTGCAGGCGCATCTGTTGATGCCTTTTGATCACACTTATGGCATAGATCAAAATAGTACTTGTTCCTCACTCTTTCGAGGTTTGAGCATAATAACTTCTAATACAAATTGTGAGGCTGTTGTTTTATGATCTTTTGAGTACTTTCAATAAACTTCGGAGGACTGTTCCTGTCAATCTTTAATCTACACCACCTAGTACTAGTGTTACGAATAATCTTGTTTGATCGTTCCGTTCGACACAATACTTCGCTAGGTCAACATTGTTGTGGACAAAGGATAAACACATCACAGGTGCCGGAACGAGTACTCAACAATTTCTTTAATCTACACCACCTAGTCCTGGTGTTAGGAATAATCCCGTTTGACATGTTACTTCGCTAGGTCAACTTTGTTGTGGACGAGAAATAATAACACCACAAGTGTCTTGACTTTCGTATAAAGCTCACTTAAATGCCATAACTTTATTTTCGATCAAATGCGTGTCATAATTTATATACGGTAATCACTTGAGTGTCATAAAAGTTATGACATTTGTGATGTTGTTACCCTATGGACGACGAGAAGTCTACAAACAAGTCCCTGGAAAAGTCATTGAATGTGCGTGTGCGCATAAAAACTGCTAATGAGTCGTGTGATGAGCCATATGTAGAGAGAGACTTGTATGACTTTGACAACGAAAAGTAAATGGTTCCATTTGGCTGAAAAGTGTATGATAAAACTCCTTTAGAAATGTGGATTGATATGGAAATCAATAAAAGGATGTACATGATTCTTTGTTGATTTTTGGACAGGAATGGTGGACTGACGAGAAAATTAAAGGTATAAAGACCGGAGGCAATCACGACCAACCATGTGAAATAATAGTGGAATGTAAAGATAATAGGGAGATGAAATTGAACAACTAATGTTTACTAATGGATTACCGGTCCCTTGCTCGAATTACAATCCTAATATTTATAGCTACTAGAGATCGTTAACAACAATTCTAAAGAGAAAAAAATATAATCCTATGTTACTCCTAAAATTTAGCAACATGTATTTACAAATGTTACAAAAAACCCACTACTCCACGATGGTGGCCTCATCACTTGCCCCACATAGACGGTAGCTTTTGTAGCTTACAACCTCTTCCTAACGATCATAACATCCCTTGTTTGTCGGCCATTGTCATTTATGGCTTTCGAGATATACGGTTCTACGAACTGGTGATCATGTTGGCTTCACGATTGAACGGGTCATTATGATTGTAGTCGAAATTGTTGGTTTTATGACTTGAACACTTATCTCGCTCTTGATTCATCGATCTTCACTTCGACTTTGGCTCTTTTGTTGACCGAACCAAGTTTCACTTACAGACGCTTCGTGGCTCAATACTTAGCAAAGTTCTGTTATTTCACCCGTTGCCAACTCTTCATCGCCTTTTTCGAGTTTCCTATAATAATCGACCGACTGAATGGACTTAACAAATTTTACTTCAACCATGTCTTGCTCGGTCTTATCCAATCCGATTCCATAGTCAAGGACTTGGGCATTTTTTGGTGTCAACAGGTTCACAGCTTTTCCAAAAAGTTGCGGCAATAATTTTTTTGACAAAAATAATTTTCTTCGTACCCAATTCTTCGAGTCACATTAACGAGTCTCATTTAGAGAATAATCCATTTTTTTCCGAAAATCCTTATTACCCGTGTTTACGAAAATGATATTTTGGTTTTGCAAAAATCGAAAACTATTCTTAATCGACAATCTTTCTATTTGGCGTCTCCTTTTCAACTCTTCTCCACCTCCTCCTATATCCCTTATGCATGTGACACAGCCTAAGGGAGCAAAGGACTCCGAGCCCGTCCATGAACGAGACATGACCCCTTACGTGCATGGGACGTGGCTCATTCGTGCATGGGACGTGGCACATTCGTGCATGGGACGTGGCTCATCCGTGACTAGGCGCGAACATCATCCACGACCCTTCAGTTGCCTCTGACACACGACCCTACAGCGAAAATGAAGCGGACTAACGGGAGCGGCTGGCCGGAGTGAGGTGCGATGGCTGGGGGGATTGGCAGGACTGACGGCGACTCGAGCGGATGACCGGCAAACGTACCAAGCCCTGCTCTTTTTGGGTTCACCCTCCAACCCTCTCGGTCCCTCTTCGTTTCCTTTCAAATCACCTTCTTTGTTTGTGATTCAATTTGAAAGAGAGGGTTCGGAAACATATTTATTCTGAATCGGAGGGAGAAATGCACTGGAGTACCTATGTGTAGCATGCACCTGAATTTACATATAGTAATGTCCATCTTTTACCAAAAACAAGCCATTTATGGATATTATCAGGGGGTTCGTGCAAATCCAGTGGAGTCAACAGCTGGGGCCCCTCTTAAGCTCTCCTCGGATCCTTCTGTTTTTTTTTGGCTTCCTGTTGCTCTTCATTCTTTTTTTTCAAATGATAACGAGGGATGCTGTCATCAAATTTTCAAAAAAACAGGAGTGTCTAAGCTAAAAGATAAGTGGAAAAAGCGTAACCTAAATTTTTTGACAAAATCGAAAAAGTCTAAATTTATAGATATTATTTTCTGGGACGATGTTTGCCAAAAACGGAACGAGTGATGTGTTAACGAAAGTCACAATTGGCTTGCTGACAATGATGCTTTTCAATGTAGCGTAGTAAACCTGACATTTTTGGCGTCTCCTTTTCAACTCTTCTCCACCTCCTCCTATATTCCTTATGCATGTCTGGTTGTGTGGTCTTGCGATGGCGATTATATACAGAGGATCCGACAGATTCAGTCTCACGTTATCGTACTCAACTCAATGTCATACGAGGAAGGGAGTCCTGCATCAGTTGGAAACAAACACCAAAAAATGTCTGAATCAATGACAACATGATGGAAACCTTATGCCATCTTGAACAGGTTCAGTTCTTTTCCTTAGTGTCCAAACGAAATGGGGTCCTTACCACGGCCACAGAGTCAGTCAAACCATATCAACTGTAACATAATATTGTCCAGCCGGCAAAATTAACACCCAGATGACACAGAATTCGCCTGCTTTGGCCCTATCTTGGAAGAGAAGTGCTTTTATAAGATGCCCATTTTCCACATTGAATTGCAGAAACTTTCCCAAGTTAGATTGTGACCTGGGAAGTTCTTTCTCCAAAGTAGAAGGTAAGCTTTCGTTGAACATTGCTAGCTCTGGGCTGGTCTTTCTCCAAAGTAGAATGTAAGCTTTCGGTGAACATTGCTTGCTTTCGGTGAGCATTGCTCACTTTCGGTTTCGGTGAACATTGCTCGCTTTCGGTGCCGGACACTTATGTCACGACGATGATAAAATTGAGAAAAATTTGCCATAATTATAGAATTCAATGATCAAAAGTTGTTGTCCATGTACTAAAACCAGAGAGTGTCGTAAGTTTGTATGTTCAGCGTCGGTGGAATTCTTACTGAACAGGTCCTACTTGGCAACTGCGTCGGATGGGAGTCAGCTCATCGCCCTGCTCCTGAAGCTATTAAACGCCAAGAAGACTATAGAGGTGGCGTCTTCACCGGATACTCTCTCCTCCTCACGGCTCTTACGATTCCGTACGATGGCAAGGTATGTCGTCTTTTGCTTTGAAAAAAGGTAAAACTTGCTATTCTGTTTGTCAAGCTAGAATTAATCTGCACATTTTTCTCTTGCTGTTTCATATTGGTCAAATCAAATGTTTCTTGTGCAGATCATAGCGATCGATGTAGACAGAGAAGCATATGAGATCGGATTACCGTTTATCAAGAAGGCCATCGTCGAACACAAGATCGACTTCATCGAATCGCAAGCTTTGCCTGTCCTCGATAAATTACTAGAAAATGTTAGTGTAACTTCTCTAGTAAAAGATGATCCTCATTTGGACTTGTGCAGTAAAAATGGTATCTTCTGAGCTTGTTAGACTCTCAAAAATCTCATCCGGCTCTTCTTTTTCGCGTCAGCAAGAAAATGAAAGCAGCTTCGACTTTGCGTTCGTAGATGCTGATAAGGCTAACCTGAAGAACTACCATGAGAGGCTGCTGAGGCTGGTGAGGGTCGGGGGCGTCATCATCGTGTACGACAACACTCTCTGGGGCGGCACCGTCGCCTTGTCCGATCTGCTGAGGCAATTCGCATGGAAAGGACAAGATCGAGTTCAACAAAATGATCGTGGGCAATCCTCGGTTCGATATATCTCAAGTCGGGCTGGGCGATGGGATGACGATCTGCGGGCGCGTCTACTGATGTGTTTTGATCAAATTTATGGCACAGATCAAAATAGTTTCTATTACTTTCTTTTGAGATTTGAGCACAATAGATTCTAATACAGATTGTGAGGCTGTTGTGTTATTTCCTTTTGAATGCTTTGAATCAAATTTGGAGGACTGTTCACTCAATAAAAGACCGTTCATGTCCATTTTTTTCAATCTACCTTAGTCCTGGTGTCAGGAACTCCGAGCTACAATCGTGATCCTTCCGTCCGATGCATTGCTTCGCTAGGTCAACTTCGTTGTGGACGACGAGAGGTCTACAACATCAATAACGAAGCAATGTTCATCTGCTCTGCTTTCTTCGCCAGAATAGTTCTTAGGCATGGTAATTGGTCTCGGCACCGGCTAAAGCTAAATTCGCGTGAAAAGCGTACCCTGAACTTTCATACATCAGCGCGGTTTTTAATGGAGGTTTGGCTAGTTCTTGGGCATGGTAATTGGTCTTGGCACCGAATAAACAACTAAAGCTAAATTCGCGTGAAAGGCGTACCCCGAACTTTCATACATCAATATGGTTCTTAGTGGGGGTTTCCCTCTAGTTCTTAGGCATGGTAATTGGTCTTGGCACCAACTAGCCAACTAAAGCTAAATTCTTGTGAAAAGCGTACCCCCAACTAACCAACTAAAGCTAAATTCTTGTGAAAAGCGTACCCTGAACTTCATACATCAATGCAATTTTTATGCGCAAATTGAAGGGAAAAAAAAGAAGAAGGAAAAGCAACAAAAGGATTGAAATAGGAGGGGCGTTCCGAGAATCGAACTCGGGACCTCTCGCACCCAAAGCGAGAATCATACCACTAGACCAAACGCCCACTCGTTTGCTATGAACGCAAGTAATTTAGATATAACCCAATTATCTGTCTCGGCACGTGCCACGCCACGTGACCCCGGTGCCTCTTATATCGCGGTT